CGACTAGTCCAAACGAGAGGTCAGTAAGGTTACCAAGTACCAATCAAATTCAGAGAATCCAGGTAAAATTCTCAGTAGGCATGGCAACTGTCAAAGGTTTATATATCACATTAAATGTCAACATACATGCTTTATTAATCAAACAAGCAAAAATAGCTCCCAGCAAAGTCTATTAATATCCCCGTAATTTGATGTCCCAGTTAGGTATACAAAATTGAAAATTCCCAGCCAGCACTGAACTATCTGGTCCAGCAGTGCACTTTAAGTCTAAAATCTCCCAGCCAGGAACATAAAAATTCAATTTGCCAGCCAGACAAAAAATAGAATGTAGAGCGGTTATTTTGTGGAGCGGTGTCGTTGGGTACTCTTGTACTCTACTAACTCTACCGCCATCAAGCTATAAGTATATCATTTCTTCACTATACAGTCTTTGTTTGAAATAGTTCAAGATAGAAATAAGTCATATAAGTAATTTAAATCTTTATTTCATCTTAAGTTTTTACCGAACTGAACAAAGTAGTACTACAGACTTACTTTAGTTTGTCATATGATTTACATTCACGGCTTATAAACAAACCAGATGTAGATATCGAGATCATGCCACGAGGTCATCGAGTCACGTACAAAACAATGCATGTCAAAATGAATAAACAATAACATTTGCCCAATTATATACCATATTGTTATAGCTATAATTTTCTAGATAAATGGATCGCTCGAGAAAATTCCGGGCTTTAAAGGGAGCGACTAGATTATTATAAAGTCATTATTCAGCGAACTTTGCACCATTATTGCAAAAGATAGAAATTTGCATTTTCATTACAAGCACATGACATATTTCAAAAAAAGGTTGAACAGATGAAACCGAAATTACACGACGGAAAGGAGCCATACACTGTAATATAAAAATCAGTCATAGTAAGCTTTAATGGTTGTCACATGTGCATCATTTTGTTTCTCTATCCATTACAATCCATTTATTTCTATGATTAAACTGATAATTTTTTATGGTATCACTATTGACAGTCTGGGTTTTGGAGTTAATGGAATGAATCACTTATTACGGCAGGTGAATTCGAATTAGAAGACGAAATACTCGTCTTTTACGAAATTCTGTCACATAAAACCCAAAAAGATATGAATCTGACGAGGAGGTACTCGTCAAGTTTAGCTGAAAAAGTGCACAGATAGATTGATTCGGAAAAATCATCGAACGCGTTTTCTGTCTCACTTGCCCAACTATTTACAGATTTACATATAATAAGATGTTTTTTCTTTGTTAAGCAGTCTAAACATTGGCTCCATTTAGTCTCCAATTAAACTCATACAATCCTGTGACCTCAAAACTGAAATTTAGCCATTGTCTCTGCTGTTTTAGATGTAAATTATTCTTAAAGGGACATGGTCCACCAGCATCCCTTTCGAGCTTTTATTTGCTCATGTTTGAAAATAAAAATGCATCGTAATATAAAAAAAAATTGAAAAAAATCCTGTTTTTAAATGACAATTCTTGTTTGGTTTTGACATTGTTCAAGTATTTTGTAATGTATATCTATTAACGTGAATGGTTTGATGTACTTCATAGAATTTCAATATTAAAAGTACCAGTTCACGTTGCCAAGCATGGCGCACGCAAATATCATTGAAATTTGCACTGAAAATTAACGCGGGATAAACTTTCCTACAGGAAATGCTGTAATGTAACAAATATCATTTAATTGCATTTCTAATTCCCTCGAATGTAATATATAGAAACACAGAATAGAATATTATTTCATCTATCAACCGCATTCTCATTCAATACTTAAAAAAATATTAATGATCTGTCATTTAGTCAGTCTTTCAACACCGAGTCACCTGCATTGGATACTACGCATTTCAATCCACTTCTGCTTATTATCGATATTGACTCTAAATGATTACTTATATAGTTATTATTAGTATTAGGATAATTTTTTATTGTCTCACAGGAGCTCGACTTAAAAACGGGGAAGTTATGTTAAGGAGCCAAAATTTCAATATATTCAATATATATTCAATTAGATAATATATCACGTTGTTCCTATAGATTATTTTATTCCAGAACAGAATCATAGGGACAGCTATGGTATTTAGAAATTCAGCATTATAAAACAAAACAAAAAAGATATATATAATTTGATTTGGGATATTAACTTAAGAGCATTATTGATAATATTTTAAAACTTTGAGAATATTGTAATTTCATACGAGAGTCATTTGATATCTACTCGTAATTACCTTTTACTAGAATTTTAAGGATATGTCATTTATGATAAGTTTGTTTATCGTGTTATTAGAGATCTGCTTCTTTAGATCAACATTTTTGACATGTTATTTGAGAGYATTTTCCTGCTATTTTCTAGAGTGTTTACTTATTTGCTAATAGCTTGAAGGACCTGTCTATCATCCKAGGCTAGTGTCCGATGTTGCATTAATGGTTACAAAGTACTTAATATGAAATTAGTAATGATCTCTTTTATGCTCGAAGTCTAATAACATTTAATAGCAAGGTTTATATATGAAAGTGCATTTAGTACCGAATCAACAAATGTAGTATTGTAGGACTTTACGCTAGAAGCAAGATATATCTTTTAAAAGTATTTTTCTGTACTCCGTCGATCATTTAAAAGTTGACGTTGTTAATTTAATTCGTAATTAAACCCTTTTAGTATCATTACCAATAGGAATTCTGCTTCTAATGTCAAAGCTTAAAGTGCGGCTACGACGAAAAAAAATGTTCTTTTTAAAGAATTTTTTGTGCATAATCCAGTACTTTGAAGTCTAACTAAGCATGCTGGCTAATTTTTTTATCGACAAAGTCAAAAGAATATGAGAAATCGAGCTTCGAAAGTAGTAAAAATCCCGTCCGCCATTAATCGGTTTGATATCTGATCCCCAAATACTAAAGACTGCGGTATCTCTCGAGGAGAAGGTCAGTGACGTCACTGACTCAACACGTGACCTTTTGATTCGATGTTTTTATAAGAAAGTTACGATAAAATGGAGAGTGAAAACGAAGCAAAYCGCTTTGAAAATGACTCCGATTCTTCAAATGAGAGTTTCTTCTCAGCATCTGAAGACCTATCTGCGTATGATGACAGTGTTGAACCGCTTGAAGAAGAGTTGACAGAGAACGAAAGAACAGTAACTAAAGAAGAAGAGGACGAGAATATGATGCTGACTCGCAGGAAACTTCCCTAGCATGGTCAGCTGGATTTGCCAGGTGTTTTTTTAACCATTGCACTAAGAGTAGATTAGTAAGCACTGTTTTTTGCTCGACTCTATTTTTTGGATTGGACTAGTAGCAGAAATGGCAAAAATTAAAGAGCAACAACAGCTAATAGACTAATAGACAGGAAGACTATTTTGGCTCTTCTCTTTATTGTTGGTATTACTATGTAAAAAATGTTGGATGAATTTAATTAAAAGACCTTAGTGAAAATTGCTACATTTGTGTTGAAATATTAAGTTTGTACCTAGTTTTTGGGCATTCCTTGTCGTCATTATTGTCATTTCTTTCAACATCATGGTCTCCATTTAGTATGTTTATTTCAATTTTTCATGTTAGTGTGATATTGGTTGTCTTTGAAATCATAGTGACAAAATCAATGATCCTCATTG